TGTGTATACCTGCTATGGCCAATGCGACATCGTCGCAAGATGGCCTCTTCAAATGTGGACTGACAGCCCAAATAGGTGTAACCGATATAGGGTTCTTGTATTTCATGTAAATTATTTATACCTACCTGGGTGTCCCACTTCTTTTGCATCATATCACGGATATAAGATCTAATGTATAATAGCGAGTATAATAAGAGTATGGGCTAAGAAGTGGTGTCACAGATTTGTTGAGTGCTGCCTTAGCAGCAAGATCGGCCAGTATGTTCCCAGAAATGCCAACGTGGCTGGGTAACCAACAAACGACGATGTCGCATTGGCCAGTAGCAAGATTATACATTTCAATAATTTCAATTAAAAGTGGATGTTTGCAAGAAACATTTTTAATAGCCTAAAGGCACGAGAGACTCTGAAAAGATGATATACTGTTTATATTTAGGGTGTTTTTTAATATATTTTAAGGCTGTTAATATGACGTGTGCTTCGGCTGTGAAAATTGAGCTGTGATCTGGTATTCCTGAAGATATTGTTCTGGATCCAGTAACCGTGGCACCACTCACTGCACGACCATCCTTGGACCCATCTGTAAAAAAGGATTTGTATGTAGTATATTTACTTTTTAATTGATTAATTTGTATTGTAATTCATTAGGTTCTGATTTTGTAAACTTTGTCAGTGTTAGGTCAACTTCTGGCCTCAAACAATGCCAAGGAGGAGAAGAAAGAAGACGGAAAGCAGATATATTTTCCATCTCAATGCCGTCAGCAGAAATGAATGGCTCAATTCTGAGTTCAAGAGGAGGAACAAGAGAAGTCTTGTTGTACAGATCCCCATAAAGAGGATTAAAAAACAGTTGAATGCAGGATTTGACGCATTAGAAGATAGTTTTGTTATCCCCTGCAAAAACGAAGTTGCGGGGGATATAGAAACGAGTTCGAAGCATATATAGAAACGAGACATATCACCTAAACTTTTCGTGATAGCTTAACCAATGACGGTACACATGTCAACCATGATTGATAAATGTGCCTTATAGAGGTTAAATCCAGATATGAATTTTTTTTTCTGTTTCCATGGAAACATGTCTTAGGCTATGACTATGAGGATGTCATCTTGTACGGAGCAGATCTTCCAAACTACACATGGTAGCTTCATCAAACTCGTACAGGTTGATGGTACAGGTTTGGAGAATGATGTCATTTCATGCAGAAACATTACGAATTTCACTTTTCTCACTCAGACTTAATTCTCAGTACCACGCATACATCTTGATCACGTAATTGAAGAATAATGACTTGCAAGTTCAAATACTGACTTTCAATCAATACCTTGTGTAACCTACCTGCACACGAACAGCATACTCAACATACTCTCTTTCCTTGGATCAATCACAGGATTTGATTCTGAAGACTCATGTTCCATTCCTCATGCAAAGCAGCAGTCAGTTGATTGATAGTGCGGACTTGAGGATCTCTCTGTCGAACACGGCGGTCTGAAATGTCCCACAGATGCTCAATGTGATTGAGATTTGGACTCATGGTCTGGCATTATCATCCATAAAGATGGGTCTTGTAGCTAGAGGATGGTTATCAGAATGTAGGGCAAAAGCTCTCTCAAGGATCTACTGTTGATACCAATTCCTATTAAGGATATAGCGAATGGTAATGAGGTCCATCTTCCAACCCAAGGAAATGCATTACCATACTATGATTGACCCTCCCCCAAAAGGGAACCGTATTTCTGGACATTGTGGGGAATCACAGCTGTAGTCCTTTGTCTCCAGACACATGGACGGCTATCTATCATATGCAACAAGAAACGTCTCTCATCGGAAAAATGAACCCGCACTATGTTCCAGCAAATACGTTGATTACGCCAGGGACGTCGTGCTGCTTTGTGAGCTGGAAACAGTTTCATACGTTTGATGGGTCTTCTGGTCCTGTATCGTGCAGCTTTCAGACGATTCCTGACGGTCCTGCAGGATATGGTTTTCCGTGGCAACCGTGCCTGAGTCCCGTAAACGGTGCATACCAAGTCTCAACAATGCTCTATCTTTTCTTACTGTTGTCTTACGGGGTCTGCCAGTTCTTAGAAGGTCTTTAACATCATAGGTAGCCCTGTGTTCGTTCAAAAGTGTTGAAATGATGGAAGGATTGCGCCCAACTTGATGTCCGATTTGTGCGAGGGACATTCCTGCATTTCTGCCAATAATTTGCCACCTTGTAGCCTCTGACAATTTACAACGTGCCATGACTATTATGGTACTGAATATTCAATCCAGTCTGAAAGGAGAGAGTGTGACATGTTACCAGTAAAAAAATGTTTCCACATTTGTGGGGGTATGACATTTCCGTTGAACGTGCAATGAATATCTCCACACAAATTCAATCTACACATCAAGAAGCAAAATGTTAATAAATCATTCAGAAAATGTGTTCCTTCATTAATGTATATACTGAGTTGAATCTTTATACAGACATAATAATAACCGTTTAGAAACAGTTGTGCAAAAGTCAGCACCTTTATCTGTTACCTGCGAGACAGTGAGCCGACCTTAGACCTCTGTGTGGGAGATGGTGAGATAACTGTAGCGATAAGAAAAAGAACACGATTATAGTTACAAAACATATTTTTCCATTTTGCATTAGTCTCCCTTTCAGTGGTTTTAATGAAAAGAAAATCATAATTCAACTTTTTAATAGTATAGACTATTACCCAACATGTTTGTCAAAGATATTTGGAATATCTAAATGCCTACAAAAAATGTAAACTATCAATAGGTCCATTTTACTGATCATGAGTTATCTCCCTTTCGTTTCACTCAATTAAGTAATATTGGTAACAATCTGGAACCAGAAAGTAATGCAGGTGTCACGTGACCTTTTCCTATAAAAGCGCGACAGCTGTGGCGAAATGACAGAGTGCATCAGAAAGTCATCATGAACAGGGGCCTTTGTTTGATCCTGGCTCTCATGGTCGCCACCCAGGCGTCAGCAGTACGAGGAAAAGTGGTTCGGGAAACATTTGGAGGTTAGAAACTATAATTTAATATTTCTGAAATTTATACAAGTCAAATGTGTTTTTTATCACCATTTAGGTTATAGCTAAATCTTTAAATATTTTCATGTTTCCAAATTAAGGCCAAGAGATCCGATTAGAATGATGACATTTAAGTGAGTAAGTATGTTTAGTTTTACGCCGGTTTTACCAACATTCCAGCAATATCACGGCGGGGGACAGTTGAAATGGCCTTCACACTTTGTACCCATGTGGGTTTCCAGTGTAACGAGCAAACGGTTTAGCCACTCTGCTACCCCACCGCCCCGATTACATTTAAGACGTCAAAGGCAAGCAAGCCATATACAGCTATATGCAAGGACAACTGTCCAGCATTTTTTGGAATATGCAAACATAAGTCGTTGTAGGGCACTGAAGAACATCCGTTGTTATCTCGATTATCGCCTGGAAAAGTGTAAAACATATTTCTAGCTTATAAAGGACAAATTTGTCCTATACACAAGCCATCCTTTGGAAGAATTTTCAATGTCTGTGTGACGTAACAGACATCATTACGGCTCGAGTGAGCACTGCCGTCCGAAAACGTATGACGTCAATGTGATTGCACAACGATAGGTTAACATGTTCTCTGATGACATTTTGTATTCAGATACAGATAGAGACAAGAATTGTATTGAATGTCAACGCAGTTACGATGTATATGCCATTAATCAAAACAACAATCTTAGTGGTCACCAAAGGAGATGTAAAGCCTGTGGATATATCTACATCATATAAAGCATTAATACGTTTCCAGTATCCTACAGACTACTTCGTGACCAGTGCCAAAATATATCCTGACATGTCGGCATCATGTCTATCATTTTCCACATTCATTACGAATGGGACGATGTTCATCAATAGCTTCAGTGTTCTGTGGACTCGTAACAAATAGTGAATTGTGTCAATGTTTTAATGATAGTTTAATGCACACTTCAAATACTTTTATTGGGTTTCTGCAATGACGTGATGTAATAATGAACGTCTATGTGTGTTCTATTGAGTAGATACATGCGTGGACAAAGTTGACTGCCCAGAGTACGCTAGCAGCGTGTGTAAAGATTATGCCGATTGGGCCAAGTACAACTGTCCAGCATTCTGTGGAATATGCAAACGTAAGTCTTACGTAAATCTGTGTGTTTCCTCTGTATGTAGCCTCGTAGTATGGGTTTTTGTTGTCTCGATTATCGCCTGAAAAAGAGTCAAACATATTACTAGCTTGTAAGGATAAATTTGTTCTATTCACAAGCCATCCTTGAAGAATTTACAAAGTCTGTGAAACGTAACAGACTTCGTTATGGCCCGAGTGAGCACTGCCGTCCGAAAACGTATGACGTCTGAGAACCTATGATCCGACGATAAATTATCAATCTGATTGCACAACGATAGGTTAACATGTTCTCTGATGACATTTTGTATTCAGATACTGATAGAGACAAGAATTGTATTGAATGTCAACGCAGTTACGATGTATATGCCATTAATCAAAACAACAATCTAAGTGGTCACCAAAGGAGTTATAAAGCCTGTGGATATATCTACATCATATAAAGCATAAATACGTTTCCAGTATCCTACAGACTACTTCGTGACCAGTACCAAAATATATCCTGACATGTCGGCATCATGTCTATTATTTTCCACATTCATTACGAATGGGACGATGTTCATCAATAGCTTCAGTGTTCTGTGGACCCGTGAAGATCCGGGTTAGAATTGGTATTCAGCAACTCATGCTTGTCGTAAACGGGGACTAACGGGATCGGTTGTGAGGCTCGCTGACATAGTTTACACATGTCATCGTATCCAAATTACATAGATCGATGCTCATGATGTTTATCACTGGATTGTCATGTCCAGCCTCGATTTTGTATAGACCGCTGTCATATAGCTGGAATATTGCTGGGTGCGGCGTTAACAAACATACTGTTCACTGACTGTTCCAGCACAAAACACTACTGCACCTCCCCCCTGTGAAGATGTTGAGCCAAACTGTCCAGAGTACGGGCTAGATAAATGCATTGAGTTCCCTGACTGGGCCCATGGAAACTGCCGCAAGTACTGTGGCTTCTGCCGTAAGTATTGTCGTAAATAGAGTCGATATTCTATGTCCAAAAGAACTTGACATTTATCGACGCGTAGATGATCATTCTTCTCTCTCAGTCTGAGTATACGTGTGATCATCAGTGTGAGTGTTTGTGCGTGTGAAAGAGAGAGACAGTGTGCGTGTGTGTGTGTGCGTGAGTGTTTGTGTGTGTGAAAGAGAGCAACAGAGCGTGTGTGAGTGTTTGTATGTGTAAAAGAGTCAGCGTGTGTGAGTGTGAGTGTTTGTGCGTGTGAAAGAGAGAGACAATGCGTGTGCGAGTGCTGGTGTCTGAAAGAGAGAGTCAGTGTGTGTGCGTGAGTGTGAGTGTTTGTGTATGCATGAAAGATAGAGACAGAGAGAATGTCTGTGATCATGAGGGTGAGTGTTTGTGTGTGAAAGAGAGTGGCAGAGAGTGTGTGAGTGTTTGTATGAGTGAAAGAGAGAGACAGTGTGTGTTGTGAGTGTAAGTGTTTGTGTGTGTGAAAGAGAGCAACAGAGCATGTGTGAGTGTTTGTGTGTGTGAAAGAGAGAGACAGAGTGTGTGTACGTGAGTGTGAGTGTTTGTGTGAGTGAGTGTTAATGTACGCTAGCGGCGTCTGTAAAGATTATGCCGATAGGGCCAAGGACAACTGTCCAGCATTCTGTGGAATATGCAAACGTAAGTCTTACGTAAATCTGTGTGTTTCTTCTGTATGTAGCCTCGTAGTATGGGTTTTTGTTGTCTCGATTATCGCCTGAAAAAGTGTAAAACATATACTGAGTCAAAAAAGAAACTTCACAAAATGTAATTTGAAAAATAATGAATAATTTTTCTCTGATGATACATCTATCTATCCGAAATGGGACCCCTATCTTTCGACTCTAGAAAAACATTAGCAAAACCCACTCAAACCCATCCATTCGTCGTGCAAATGACGTTAGTGCCAAATCAGGTTTTGCATGTGCAGTCGATCACGTGATCTTCGCATCGAAGTTTTCTTCATGTGCACGTGTTTGCATTGGCCTCAAGAATTGAAAAAACACTTTTAAACCACAGTTCTAATGGTACTTGAAATGCCACGATTGTCAAATGTGCAACGTGAACGTTCCGTTGGGATGTTGCAAGCGTGAAGATCAGTTATTAACGTCGCAAGAGCAATGGGATGCAGCCGTCGTACTGTGTATGACTTGCGAGGTCGTCTACAACAAACTGGCACCACTTCTGATCGCCCAAGGTCGGGTCGTCCACGTGTGACGTCACGAGCAGAAGACCGTCAAATCGTCCTACGTCACCTATGTGACAGGTTTCTGCCGGGTACACGAACGAGGGCTGAGATGTTTAGAGGTCGACTGTCCTCACAGATCATTCGAAATCGGTTGCTGGCTGCCAATCTCCATTCTCGACGTCCATATCGTTGGCCAATATTGACGCCGTTTCATCAACGTCAACGTCTGCTGTAGGCCCAACGTCACCTCCGATGGACCCAGAGAGACTGGAATCGAGTCGTCTTTAGCGATGAATCCAGGTTTACCCTCAGATTCGCGGACGGCAGGCATAGAGTCTGGAGACGACGTAGTGAACGGTAAGCCCAATGTTGTGTACAGGAAGTCGACAGATTCGGGGGCGGAAGTTGCATGGTGGGGGTGCTTTCTGTGGGAACAACCGTTCCCGACTTCTGGTCATCCGTGGAAACCTCAAAGCTGCTGCTTACCGCGACCAGGTGCTCACCCCTGAACTCGTTCCTTTCATGGCGGCTCATGGCCCAGGTCTACAGTTCCAGCATGATAATGCTCGGCCGCATACCGCGATGTTGACACGAAATTTCCTTCAAAACGCTGGAATCAACGTCATGGACTGGCCATCGAGGTCCCCTGACCTTAATCCAATAGAGCACGTTTGGGATGCACTTGGGAGAAGGCTTCGTGGTCTTAGGAACCAACCTCAGAATTTGCAGGAACTTGGCGCTGCCTTGCAAGAGCAATGGCGCAGAATCCCCAACCACGTGTTCACAAGCATCAGGCAGTCGATGAGGAGACGGTGTTTGGCAGTGGTGAATGCGCGGGGCGGCCATACACGATATTGAACTGAGAAATTACGCATTTTTATTCTTGTGACTTGCCATTCTGTATACCCATGTTTTGGAACGGCAGTGTAGCCTAATGGAACTGATTATGGCACTGTCAGTGTATCGAGTACATCACACAGATCTCAGCAATGAAATAATAACAATTTAACCATCTTACCATCTCTTCTTCTTTTAAAGTGCCCTGAAGAGAGAATGTGAAGTTTCTTTTTTGACTCAGTATATTACTAGCTTGTAAAGGATAAATTTGTCCTATTCACAAGCCATCCTTGAAGAATTTACAAAGTCTGTGTAACGTAACAGACTTCGTTATGGCCCGAGTGAGCACTGCCGTCCGAAAACGTATGACGTCTGAGAACCTATGATCCGACGATAAATTATCAATCTGATTGCACAACGATAGGTTAACATGTTCTCTGATGACATTTTGTATTCAGATACAGATAGTGACAAGAATTGTATTGAATGTCAACGCAGTTACGATGTATATGCCATTAATCAAAACAACAATCTAAGTGATCACCAAAGGAGTTATAAAGCCTGTGGATATATCTACATCATATAAAGCATTAATACGTTTCCAGTATCCTACAGACTACTTCGTGACCAGTACCAAAATATATCCTGACATGTCGGCATCATGTCTATTATTTTCCACATTCATTACGAATGGGACGATGTTCATCAATAGCTTCAGTGTTCTGTGGACCCGTGAAGATCCGGGTTAGAATTGGTATTCAGCAACTCATGCTTGTCGTAAACGGGGACTAACGGGATCGGTTGTGAGGCTCGCTGACATAGTTTACACGTGTCATCGTATCCAAATTACATAGATCGATGCTCATGATGTTTATCACTGGATTGTCATGTCCAGCCTCGATTTTGTATAGACCGCTGTCATATAGCTGGAATATTGCTGGGTGCGGCGTTAACAAACATACTGTTCACTGACTGTTCCAGCACAAAACACTACTGCACCTCCCCACTGTGAAGATGTTGAGCCAAACTGTCCAGAGTACGGGCTAGATAAATGCATTGAGTTCCCTGACTGGGCCCATGAAAACTGTCGCAAGTACTGTGGCTTCTGCCGTAAGTATTGTCGTAAATAGAGTCGATATTCTATGTCCAAAAGAACTTGACATTTATCGACGCGTAGATGATCATTCTTCTCTCTCAGTCTGAGTATACGTGTGATCATCAGTGTGAGTGTTTGTGCGTGTGAAAGAGAGAGACAGTGTGTGTGTGTGCGTGAGTGTTTGTGCGTGTAAAAGAGAGAGACAGTGTGTGTGTGTGTGTGTGTGTGTGTGCGCGTGAGTGTTTGTATGTGTGAAAGAGAGCAACAGAGCGTGTGTGAGTGTTTGTGTGTAAAAGAGAGTCAGTGTGTGTGAGTGTGAGTGTTTGTGCGTGTGAAAGAGTGAGACCATGTGTGTGCGAGTGTTTGTGTGTGAAAGAGAGAGTCAGTGTGTGCGTGAGTGTGAGTGTTTGTGTATGCGTGAAAGAGAGAGACAGAGAATGTCTGTGATCAGGAGTGTGAGTGTTTGTGTGTGAAAGAGAGAGGCAGAGAGTGCGTGAGTGTTTGTATGAGTGAAAGAGAGAGACAGTGTGTGTGTGAGTGTTTGTGTGTGTGAAAGAGAGGGAGGCAGGTGTGTGTGTGTGTGTGCGTGAGTGTTTGTGTGTGTGAAAGAGAGAGACAGGGTGTGTGTACGTGAGTGTGAGTGTTTGTGTGAGTGAGTATTAAAGTACGCTAGCGGCGTGTGTAAAGATTATGGCGATTGGGCCAAGGACAACTGTCCAGCATTCTGTGGAATATGCAAACGTAAGTCTTACGTAAATCTGTGTGTTTCCTCTGTATGTAGCCTCGTAGTATGGGTTTTTGTTGTCTCGATTATCGCCTGAAAAAGTGTAAAACATATTACTAGCTTGTAAAGGATAAATTTGTCCTATTCACAAGCCATCCTTGAAGAATTTTCAAAGTCTGTGTAACGTAACAGACTTCGTTATGGCCGTGAGCACTTAGCACTGCCGTCCGAAAACGTATGACGTCTGAAAACCTATGATCCGATGATGAATAATCAATCTGATTACACAACGATAGGTTAACATGTTCTCAGATGACATTAGTTAAATCGAGGGTCCTCCGTTTTGTATCCCTGCTTGACTGTACTGATCTTTCCATCACAAGATAGATAAATAATTCCGTGTCAAAATAGTGAAGGATCTTTTTGATGTGATAATCATTTAGTTATTGAATTTGTTAAAGAAATAGAATTGTTACATAATTATTTTTAAGTTTTGTAAATAGGTACATGTTTTATAACTGGCAGTTTAGATTATCAACTGAGATTGTTCAGTTCTATATCCTGAAAACGGGGTGAAAGTACTGTAAAATTATCGTCTCCCTGAGAGGGTACGTAAGACCCAAAACTTTCAATGTTAATTTAGACGTACCAGGATTTTTTAAACATAGTATTTTTGTGATTTTAATGTTTGCTACATTTTCCTACAATCGCCAGCGGCTGAAGGGATGGTGTAAATCCAACTAGGGTCCTTGTAGGTAGCAAAGGTACTGTAAGTCCCTATGGTCCCTAATATGGTGATATACCTTCAGTTGTTGGCGATCAATAGCCTGTTTTATATATTGTATCGTCCGCTATAGATAACTGTTTTAGATTCAATAACTTATTTTAAATATATATCTGTGATAGTCTAGTTGTTTTAGTGTCCTTCGTTGACAGGTGTTTATAATTTACTTTTATAGTCTGTCAATCCAACTTTTAAGACACCCCTTTGTTAAATATCACCAACTGAGCACATGCCATTAACGTATATCTTTATGATCCCCTTTGACGTAATGAGAAAAATTAGTTTTAACCTTGTTGGTCACTTGGGGAAAAAGTTACGTGAGTAACTATCATTTTAAATTACTGATTGTTTTGGTGTCAAGAGACGGGGTGTAGTCGCAGTAAACGTAACAACTTACGTGTTAGGTCAGCCGGGTCGACTCCGGGTCACAGATTCACATATCTATATAAAGGGAACGTCTAAAAAGCATTAAAGAATAACAACACTTACTTTAGTCACCGTCAGAAATCAAAATCAGAGCTACCAGCGTCAGTGTCGTCATCAGAGTCTAGATTGATCAAGATTGGTTGGACACGTTGCCTTGTAGGCCATCTTTAACCCAGTAGTCTTCTTCCACCTTGATCACACGATTGACACAATGCTGCCATAATTCTGGTGATATTGTCGCTATTTCTTCGTTGACAATTTGTTTCACGTCTTTGAGTTTGAAAGAAACATTATTTCGTGCAACTGAATCCGTTAAACTGTCCCAGATCAGTTCAGTTGGATTAAGGTCACAGTGATATGGCGGCAAACGTAGAATTTCATGACCATGCTTTTTCAACATATTGTCAATCAAGTAAACAGGGGGGTGGTTTGTGAGCTAGTATGATATCATACTGCTTAGTTTTAGTAGTTTTAGTCTGAAAGTCGGATACCAAGCCTGGGCAACCAATAATTCATCTCATGTTTTATGGAAGCGGAGGTAGGAGTCTTCTCCAGGGGATCTCTAACACTAGTACTGTGGTATGGTGCGTTGTCCATCACTACCAAACACTTGTCAGGTAGAGCAGGAAGTGGCTGCTCTGTGACGTATTTTGTGAACACTGTGGAGTTCATCTCTGCGTGATAGTCACGACCATCAGTCGATTTGGATCTGAACACCAAGTCAAATCCTGATAGGAAACCCAGATGAGACCCTGCGCCTATAGTGATAAGTCTCTCACCCTTTGCATGGAGGAATCTTCCTGTTTTCTTTGCGGTCAGAATGCTGCCACTGATATGAAGGGGTGTTTCATCCACGTTTCATCCAAATGACTACTTCAAAGCCGTTTTCTCTTTTTGTCGGGTATTGTTTTCAGATAACTGGCCCTAAATCGCACGAGATCACCTCTGTCACAGAGTGGAACGGGTTTTTTTATAATGAAATCCGAATTTCACTTATAATTTACATATTGTGTATCCGGAAATGCAGATGTCGTTTTCATCTAAAAACGGCCAATTATGTCCCTGATTAGTCACAAATTGAAAGAGTCCAACTTGCTTGTCATTAGAGGCGACTAACGGGATCGGGCGGTCAAGCTCGCTGACCTTCTTGACACATGTCATCGTATCCCAATTGCGTAGATGGATGCTCATGCTGTTGATCTCTGGATGGTCTGGTCCAGACTCAAGCATTTACAATGTAGCTGGAATATTGCAGAATTTCTTCCCGAGAACATTTTTTAACATAGACAAATTCGACCCAATTCGCCCATACCTCCACTACCATCACAATGTCACCGCCCTTGTCATCGTATCCCAAGCTGGAATATTGATGAATGCAGCGTTAACAACAACCAAACCAAACCGAATCATATCTCCAGGTACAACAACGGCTCCGGCAACTCAGGCCCCATCCCAGTCCAGCTGCGCTGACAAGCTGTCCAACTGTAACAGTTATGGAAGCCTCGCTTGTACTGGACAGTATGAGACCTGGGCTTGTTATTTAACTCTGCACTCAGCAATTAACGGAGAATAACGTCTACTGCTATAATCTCTCCCAAGAAGCCAAATTCAACCAAACCCTCCCCATACCCTCCACTACCTTCACAACCTCACCGCCCTTGTCGTCGTATCTCAATTGATTGGATCGATGCTCACGATGTTGATCACTGCTTTGCCTTGTCCAGACTCGATTACTTACACATCGCCGCCATATAGCATGAATATTGCTGAGTTAGGCGTTAAGCAACAAACCAACCAACCATATCAATCCTCTATCCAAAGTAGTGATCACACTTCCAGCCTCTCTACCTCCCTCTACCGTTGCTCACCATGCTATCTTGGTCTTAGTATAGACACCTGGCATCTTGGTCATGCTATAGACACCTGCCATGTATGTTCACCATGCTATCTTGGTCATGGTATAGACACCTGCACTGTATGTTCACCATGCTATCTTGGTCATAGTGTAGACACCTGCACTGTATGTTCACCATGCTATCCTGGTCATAGTATAGACACCTGCACTGTATGTTCACCATGCTATCTTGGTCATGGTATAGACACCTGCCATGTATGTTCACCATGCTATCTTGGTCATAGTGTAGACACCTGCACTGTATGTTCACCATGCTATCCTGGTCATAGTGTAGACACCTGCACTGTATGTTCACCATGCTATCCTGGTCATAGTGTAGACACCTGCACTGTATGTTCACCATGCTATCCTGGTCATAGTGTAGACACCTGCACTGTATGTTCACCATGCTATCCTGGTCATAGTGTAGACACCTGCACTGTATTTTCACCATGCTATCCTGGTCATGGTATAGACACCTGCCATCTTGGTCATGCTATAGACACCTGCCATGTATGTTCACCATGCTATCTTGGTCATAGTGTAGACACCTGCACTGTATGTTCACCATGCTATCCTGGTCATAGTATAGACACCTGCACTGTATGTTCACCATGCCATCTTGGTCATAGTATAGAAACCTGCACTGTATGTTCACCATGCTATCTTGGTCATAGTATAGACACCTGCACTGTATGTTCACCATGCCATCTTGGTCATAGTATAGACACCTGCACTGTATGTTCACCATGCCATCTTGGTCATGGTATAGACACCTGCACTGTATGTTCACCATGCCATCTTGGTCATAGTATAGAAACCCGCACTGTATGTTCACCATGCTATCTTGGTCATGGTATAGACACCTCCACTGTATGTTCACTATGCTATCTTGGTCATAGTATAGACAACTGCACTGTATGTCCACTATGCTATCTTGGTCATAGTATAGACACCTGCACTGTATGTTCACCATGCCATCTTGGTCATAGTATAGAAACCTGCACTGTATGTTCACCATGCTATCTTGGTCATAGTATAGACACCTGCACTGTATGTTCACCATGCTATCTTGGTCATAGTATAGACACCTGCACTGTATGTTCACCATGCCATCTTGGTCATAGTGTAGACACCTGCACTGTATGTTCACTATGCTATCCTGGTCATGGTATAGACAACTGCACTGTATGTCCACTATGCTATCTTGGTCATAGTATAGACACCTGCATTGTATGTTCACCATGCCATCTTGGTCATAGTATAGAAACCTGCACTGTATGTTCACCATGCTATCTTGGTCATAGTATAGACACCTGCATTGTATGTTCACCATGCCATCTTGGTCATAGTGTAGACACCTGCACTGTATGTTCACCATGCTATCTTGGTCATAGTGTAGACACCTGCACTGTATGTTCACCATGCCATCTTGGTCATAGTGTAGACACCTGCACTGTATGTTCACCATGCCATCTTGGTCATGGTATAGAAACCTGCACTGTATGTTCACCATGCTATCTTGGTCATAGTATAGACACCTGCACTGTATGTTCACCATGCCATCTTGGTCATAGTGTAGACACCTGCACTGTATGTTCACCATGCCATCTTGGTCATAGTATAGACACCTGCACTGTATGTTCACTATGCTATCTTGGTCATAGTATAGACAACTGCACTGTATGTTCACCATGCTATCTTGGTCATAGTATAGACACCTGCACTGTATGTTCACCATGCCATCTTGGTCATAGTATAGAAACCTGCACTGTATGTTCACTATGCTGTCTTGGTCATAGTATAGACACCTGCACTGTATGTTCACTATGCTATCTTGGTCATGGTATAGACACCTCCACTGTATGTTCACTATGCTATCTTGGTCAAAGTGTAGACACCTGCACTGTTTGTTCATCTGCGCTACACCTGGGACCTACAGCTTGTGTGTACAACAAACCAAAGTTCATACAAATGGTACCTTGCTTGTATGTAAGGTACTATTCCATGTATGCCAATACATTAGAAGAATTCCGAATTTTGACATGTGAAGCTTCAAACAGTATAGTTACAAGGACGTTGAAGTCCCGAATTCCAAATGTGCAAAAGAAATGCATATTCAGAGCTGAAATACCGAATACCTAACGCCGGGATTCAAATCCCGAATGTGAACAAAAAATTCGATTCGGGATTCGAATCCCCAATCCATTTGTAACTTCATGTTGCTCTGGAACTCTGGAGTACCAAATTTCCGGAATGGCTAATATATAGTGTTATAATATTGTGATACTTTTCGATTATGTTTTGATTTCTCCAAAACTCCGTGACAATTATTGTCACGTATGGTAAATTTGTAATGCCCACATCAGCTGTATCATACCACAAAGACAACAATTGGGTGCATTGGCCGAGTCGCCAAGTCGACGCAATTTGACGCACAAATGGGGAGGTCCGCCAGGTGTTGATGACGTCATAAAAAAAAAGGCCGAATTTTCTGCTATTTAGCCCCCTTTACAATAACATCCCTTAGCCAGCAATCAGTGATTGTTGGTTAGAATCCCCGTTAGAACCGAACATGTTTCCATGTTTATCAGCACCAAACGGGTGTTTGTATGGTTTTTTTTATATAAGTGCAAGACTCTGAGAACTGTGGCACTTTGGGTTTTCCTTCCCCGGGAAGCTGACACACTGTGATATAACAGTAATACTGTACAGAGCGGAGTTCAGTAACTCAGTCCCTCCTCACAACGCCCCATCTACGTGAGCACCACTCACTCATGCTACTGTGGTTGTCACGCTTCAGTTACAACAACATGCGTATAGCCTCTCACCAATACGACAGAGGGCCGGTGGGGTAGCCTGGTGGTTTAAGCGTTCCACCGTCACGCTGAAGACCCGGGTTCGATTCCCCACATAGGCACAACGTGTTAAGCCCATTTCTGTTGTCCCACGCCGTGATATTGTTGGAATAATGCTTCAGCGTAAAACTGAATTCAGTACCCTCTTCACCATGGCAATACTGTCACATTTCAGCACAATGTGTGGACAAACTAGACACCTGCCACGTGTACGGGGAGGCATCTTGCTTTGCACCGTTCCTCGCCTGGGCAGCAGAAAACTGTAGGAGGTACTGTGACCTATGTGAGTACGGCACCTGATATGAATTCAGTAGTGTGTGAATGAGTGAGTTTCGATTTTAAGTCACATCGGCAGTACTTCAGCCATATCGTGACTAAACAAAGTTATGTATTCATAATGAATAAAGTTAAATCACATAAAAATCTGTCAACGAAGGACAGCAATAAAAGCTAGAATTTCACAGATAAAGATGTAAAACTAGTATGTATATCGCAAACATTTTAACTATTGAAGGCTATACAATATGAAAACAGGCTATAGATCGCCAACAACTGAAGGTAGATCTACAATACATATTACTCAAAATTTTGAAAACAATTCTATTTCTTTTGAAAAACATATTACCAAATGCTACTTGACATGGTTAAAAAGATCCTTCATGTTTTTACACTGAAATGCAATACAGTGCGCATCACGATAGAACCATTTCAACATCACTCTGTGGAACGGGACACTAGCACAAAGCAATCTGTGCGCTGAAAGCATCTTGAGTCAGCGCTAAAGTATATGGGAGTTACGACCAGTAACGACAGTCGTAAGTATATGTCAAAGTATGGGAGTTACGACCAGTAACGACAGTCGTAAGTATATGTCAAAGTATGGGAGTTACGACCAGTAACGACAGTCGTAAGTATATGTCAAAGTATGGGAGTTACGACCAGTAACGACAGTCGTAAGTATATGTCAAGGTATAGGAGTTACGATCAACGTAGCGCTGAGATCGCTTTGTGCAAGCGGGCCCTGGGTGACGTGTAGGTCGACACACGACAGTAACTGTAGATAACATGCAGTATATGGACATGATTTTGGGAGGGGTATAAGCAGTGTGTAGCCTAATAAGTGAGTGAGTCACGTCGCAATAAATGGGCTTCACACATTGCACACATGTGCAAAACCGAACCCGATCTTTGCTGTGAACGCACTAACCACCAAGCTAATCCCCGCCTATATAGCCTAATGAAAAGACACTCATGACTGCTACATTGTAGCGGTAACTGGCAATACGGATGGTGAATTATGTCAGCGTTTATGCGGAGTTACCCACAAAACCAAAATACGTTAAAATTGTTACTTGTTGTTTCCTTGTCTGGGGTTCGGCATTGAGCGGATAAAAGGAGGATGAGCCAGTTTGGTTTCCGTATCTGGTGTCTGTGTATCAATGAGGAACTGTGGTATGGTATCTCAGAGAGCTAGCACTGTAAAACATACATTAGTCCACGTTGGTAGAAACAACCTCGCACATGCACGCACGCACGAACATGTGCACTCATATGTGAGGTGAGGTGAAATTGGGTTTAACGTCGTGCTTGAGCACTCATATGTACATATACTCTTCAAAATAGGAAGTATCTGGCGTGACCACCATGAGCATCGATAACAGTTTGGCAGCGGTGAAGAAAGAAAGATGCGAATGCTGTCTTGAGGAATGTTTTGATACTCTTGCTGAAGTGCTGTGTGGAATTCTTGAAGTGTCTGAGGTGGCGGATTGTCAATGGGGAACAAATCTAGAAGGCCAAGGTAACACCTGAACATTGTTTTGCTGGTCCACGTGCAACGTGAGGTTGAATATTGTCATGCTCCAAAGATCAACCATTGACGTTGATGAAGGGAACGACGTGACGTTGAGCTGGTCTTCGGGCAAAACGTCTGGCCTCCCAATGCCAATTGCGCACTGTCTGGTCGGAGATTCGACGCAGTCCAGGGATTTGGATTGTTGTGGATGATGAGGCCGTAGTGTTTGAACGAAGATGTCTCAACCGGATGTAGCGATCCAGGGCGGCGGTGGTAACTCTAGGTCGAACTGACCTGAGTCTGTCACAAACACTCCCAGTATTACTGTATCGGGTCCAAAGGTTTGAGATGGTCTGTCTGGACACGCTGAAATGCCTTGCCACCTCATGCTGCGATGCCCGTCCTTGTAAACGGCCGATGGTGTTGTGGAGCTTCTGTCACTCTTTTTTATTGTCTTGTCGTCTATAGTGGCTTAAAGCAATGCATGTGGAGTACCATTGATGTAGCTTTTTAAAGTCTGCAGTCACAGGCTTCAGCTCAGGGTGATACACAATTTCATGATGCACGTGCATTTCATGTAGGGTGCGTTTTACAGATTCACTACAGACGTGAGTGTAACGTTACGTTTTGTTCAACGTTTCTTTTCGCAAACGTTTTGTCGTCGGCTACCATTCCCCCACATGTGGGGATTCCGCATGGAATGATTTGTGTCAAATATTTTCCTAAACTTCAAATTTTTCCTATGTCCAGTTTTTTTTTTGAAGAGTATACATATGATCACACATATCGTACTCACCCACCTCACATCTCCAGGTACCCCTGAAGATCCGGGTTAGAATTGATCTTCAGCAACCCATGCTTGTCATTAGAGGCAACTAACGGGATCGGGTGGTTAAGCTCGCTGACCTTCTTGACACATGTCATCGTATACCAATTGCGTAGATCGATGCTCATGCTGTTGATCACTGGATTGTCTGGTCCAGACTCTAGCATTTACAATGTAGCTGGAATATTGATGAATGCGGCGTTAACAACAATCAAACCAAACCGAATCATATCTCCAGGTACAACAACGGCTCAGACAACTCAGGCCCCATCCCAGTCCAGCTGTGTTGACAAGCTGTCCAACTGTAAGAGTTATGGAAGCTACGTTTGTACTGGACAGTATGAGACCTGGGCTCGCGACAACTGCGCGATGACCTGTAACTACTGTGGTAAGTTCTGTTACGTTTTGTTTGTTTGTTTGTTTGTTATTAAACGCCACAGTCAACAATATTCCTACTCTATGGCGGAAGTTATGTTACGTTTGTTTGTTTGTTATTAAACGCCGCAGTCAGCAATATTCCTGCTCTATGGCGGAAGTTATGTTACGTTTGTTTGTTTGTTATTAAACACCGCAGTCAGCAATATTCCTGCTTTATGGCGGAAGTTATGTTACGTTTGTTTGTTTGTTTTTACACGCCGCAGTCAGCAATAGTCCTGATCTATGGCGGAAGTTACGTTACGTTTGTTTGTTTATTATTAAACGCCACAGTCAGTAATATTCCTGCTTTATGGCGGAAGTTATGGTACGTTTGTTTGTTTGTTTGTTATTTAACACCGCGGTCAGCAATATTCCTGCTCTATGGCGGAAGTTATGTTACGTTTGTTTGTTTGTTATTAAACGCCACAGTCAGCAATATTCCTGCTTTATGGCGGAAGTTATGTTACGTTTGTTTGTTTTTTACACGCCGCAGTCAGCAATAGTCAGGCTCTATGGCGGAAGTTATGTTACGTTTGTTTGTTTGTTATTAAACGCCGCAGTCAGTAATATTCCTGCTTTATGGCGGAAGTTATGGTACGTTTGTTTGTTTGTTATTTAACACCGCGGTCAGCAATATTCCTGCTCTATGGCGGAAGTTATGTTACGTTTGTTTGTTTGTTATTAAACGCCACAGTCAGCAATATTCCTGCTTTATGGCGGAAGTTATGTTACGTTTGTTTGTTTGTTTTAACACGCCGCAGTCAGCAATATTCCTGCTCTATGGCGGAAGGTATGTTACGTTTGTTTGTTTGTTTTTACACGCCGCAGTCAGCAATATTCCTGCTCTATGGCGGAAGGTATGTTACGTTTGTTTGCTATTAAACGCCGTAGTCAGCAATAGTCCTGCTATATGGCGGAAGTTTGGTACGTTTGTTTGTGTGATATTTAACACTGCGGTCACCATTATTCCTGCTCTATAGCGGAAGTTAGATACGAACAATTGTCGACCTGATGATATGTGTCAAGTTGACACTGTCAGCGAGCCTGACCACCCGATCCCGTAAGTCGCCTCTTACGACAAGCATGGGTTACCGTGATGAAGATATGGCTGTAATACTGCTGACCGACCAAGTCGCTAATAACTCGGGATGGACGTATATTGATACTATATTGATAATAACTATGTTTATTTGTAAAAAAATCTCAGATTGATTTCAGACTGGTCGCAGCGTGAGTGTTTCCTAGACTCCACCTAAAAGGTTTAGTTGGCATCACCTCCATATAACCCAAAGCCATAAGGTGGCGGTGGAGTAGCCAAATGGTTACAGCGCTTGCTCGTTATGCCGAAGTGAGTGAGTGAGTGATTTAAAATTTATAGTCACTCACGCCGAACACCCGGGTTCGATTCCCCACATGGGTACAAGGTGTGAAGGCCATTTCTGGTGTTCCCCGCCGTGATATTGCTGGAATATTGCTAAAAGCGGCGTAAAACCGAACTCACTCACCCCAACCCATAACTATTACCTGTATCGCAATTACTAGTCTTGCCTTTTGAGAGTGGTGTTGTTATCTGGTGATAATGATGTAACCCTGTTGAGAGCATTTGACAGGATACACACGCATCTGCCTAGGTTTGTGTGTGCCCAGGGTACCGGTCCACAAAGCATTCGTAGAGTTACGAGCTATCGTAACACTATAGTTTCCAGTAGGATTACGATTGGCGTGGAGCTACGAATACTCTGTGAATTGGAACCAGTTCGGCAAAGTAATCGTAGCGTTATGACTAACACCAGTCTATGTCAAAATATTGGAGTTACGATCACCTAAGCGATGAACTTACGGTTACGCTAAGGTCGTTTTGTGGGAGTCAGGTGGTCAGGTTCAGCGACGTGTTTCAGTGTAAACGAAACGGTTGGATATTGGTCGTAATATCATTTGGTTAAGCCCAAATTGGAGCACCTTTAGAATACAGCACCACAACTTCTCGTGAGGACGATCTCTGCCGTAGGTCACGTGTCATTAAGACAAGCAACCAGTTTGTGAGAACCCGTCGGACGCGAACCCTCGACCTTCGGATTGTTAGCTCGACAGCTAACCGACTGAACTACGTCCACACTGTTGCACAATGTGCAAATTTATCGAGTCATTCCTGTGACGTCACGGAAATGAACGGAAAGAGTCGAATAGGTCACGGACAATTACGAATGATACGGGTAGGCTTGGTGTCATGTGATTTTATTCTACGGACAATTGCCGAATGGATCCGATGCCATTTGGCACACTCGTCCCATTCCGTAATCTACAAATTAACGTGTGGCGTGGAATGAGCCGATATGCCTCAAACTGAAAAGGGTTGTTGACGTCAGGCGTCAGACGTAGATTTCACGGGGTATGCATGAATGACGCGCTTTTATATAAATCGGTGATTTTGTAACAGAAAAGTGATGTAGGGAACACTGTAAGGATAATGTGGATCGCACTAAGGAACGAGGGAGACATGAGCATGTGTAGTGACGGCACGAGGGTGAGTTAGCCTTCGAATCATTACTTTACAAAATTTATGTTGCGTGTGGAAGAGGTTTCAGTCAAAATAATCCCTTGATTTAATCCTAATAAATAGAATGCATTGACAGAACCGGCACAAACACAACTGACGTGTCTAGTGTAATGCATTATTACCGCTTCGAAAAATAAAATACTAATAAAACACTTTTCTATGTAATGGTGCAACTTACTGAATGACAAAAATATATATGTAAATTTTAAAAATTACAAAATACAAAATACACAACACATAACACCTCAGCAGCTCGTAATACAAATAAATATGAGCGTATTAGTGAAAAAAGAAAAATATTTCAGCTGGTGCTTGCAAAATATTGCGCATCCGCCGGTATACAACTACTGGAAACTCTCAACATCGTTGGGCTTATGCAATGACATAGCTCGTAGAGATGAAACACCAGTGAGCGGAGCTTACACGCACTCGCTGAGCCAGACAACCGTGTTGCCATGCAGGCGTCATAGGGCATTGTTTCGAGATCGCGCTTCGAACAAAATCACATCACATTACATTACGTAAAAGGGTATTATGACGTATTTTTAAAGTTTGTGGTGCTGTATTCTAAAGGTAGGCCCCCGAATATTTAACAGTTTAAAATATGCGTAAGCAACCAAGCAAAAGTACGTGTACTTCTTTGATTGGCAATCTAGAAGTTGGGTAGATGAAGAATGAGGACTATTTTTATGGATGTACAACTTCTTTATTCTGTATAGGCCACGTTTCGACATATATTCTAATGTCGTTGTCAAGCAAGTGGTACATGGGAAGTAATTTGGGTGATATAGATATAGTATGACCAGAAATTATTGAGAATTTTAGGAATATGTTTAATTGGATTTCTAGTATAAACAACCTTGACCAGCTATGAAGTGCTTGGTTTCATTCAAGAGAGACAACTCCGTTAATCGTTTTTCATAAGTTTGTGAAGAGTTATCCCCCTTTGTTTACTTGCTAGCAGACGACATTTTCAGTGATCCTCAGTATGGATGATTTAGAGAAGAGGAAGTTGATGTAAGAGTATTATAACAAGGACATCAGATCAGCTAAAGAGATTTCAAGTAGAACAGGCATCCCTTTGTCCACTGTTTATCGTGTTTTGAAAAATATTGCAAATGGATATGGCATTGAGCAACAGGGAGGCGCAGGTAGGCCCAGAAAATTGACTGTCGGTGACAGGAGGCGGCTTGGTATTCTTGTTTCTAAATACAAACGAAGGAGTGAGTGAGTGAGTTAAGATTTTAAGTCACATCGGCAATATTTCAGCCATATCGTGACTAAAGCAAGTTATAAATCTATCAACAATTTAAGTGAAATGATAAAATTCTGCCGACGAAGGACAGTAAAATAACTAGATTATCACAGATATACATGTAAAACTAGTAATTGAATCTAAAACATTTAAACTAGAGGGGACAACACAATATAAAAATGGGCTATAGATCGCTAACAACTGAAGTTAGATCACCATACGAGAGACCATGGGGACTTACAGTACATTTGCTTCCTGCATGGGCCATAGCTGGATTTACATCATCCCTTCAGCTGTTAGCAATTGAGATAAATCTAGCCATACGTTAAAATTACACATATTCTACGATTAAAAAACGGAAAGTTGAAATTTACTTTGAATGTTTTGGGACTTACGTACCCTCTCGGGAGGACAATAATTTTACAGTACTTTAACCCCCCTCGAGGATACAGCCACTAACAATCTGTGTTACTAATTCGAACTTCCAATCATAAAATATTTAGCTATTTACAAATCTGTTAACAAATCTAATTCTTTTAAAAATTCAATAATTAAATGATAACTGATACTATTTAAAAGATCCTTCATAGTTCGTGATTGAAAATATTTATCCCTTGTGATGGAATACTCAACACAGTCAAGCAAGACATGCTTGACCGTGATTCTTTCATCACAAGGGATACAAAACGGAGGATCCTCACCTTTTAATAGGTACTCATGCGTATATCTTGTGTGGCCAATACGACATCGTCGTATGATGACCTCTTCAAATCTGGACTGACAACCCAAGTAGGTGTAACCGATAGTTGGTTTTATTTCATGTAATTTATTTATACCGACTTGGGTGTCCCACTTCTTTTGCATCAGATCACGGATATAAGATCTAATAGCAGCTTTGTAATCAGAGTATGGGATAAGAAGTGGTGTCATAGATTTGTTGAGGGCTGCCTTAGCAGCAATATCAGCCATGGTGTTCCCAGAAATGCCAACGTGGCTGGGTAACCAACAAAAGACGATGTCGCATTGGCCAGTAGCAAGTTCATTGTACAATTCAATAATTTCTAATAAAAGTGGATGTTTGCAAGAAAGATTTTTAATAGCCTGAAGACACGAAAGAGAATCTGAAAAGATGATATATTGTTTATATTTACGGTGTTTA